TCGCACTCGACTTCCATTCAGAATCGTAGTAGTGGTATGGTACCAATGAATCGACCCCGGCTATAAGGAAGGCTTGGTTAGCCTGGGCGGGATCGATCCGGGATTTGAATCCGTGACCATGCCTGTGCGCCAGAGAGTGCGCCACTTGCCACAGCACCACCTCCGCCATAGGCCATCCTGGCTTTCGAAATGTGAAGATTGATGAGGATAAGAAGCTGATCCAGCCTGTGGGGTAAGGCAAAACTCCTGCGACACCTAAGATGTCCCTAAACCTGAGATGAAATCTGCCAGAAGAACTGAATATCCCTTAGCCTAGAGCATGGCTCATTCATGACTGCACTGCACTGCTAGACTCTAGGCTAGCCCGTAAACCACCCGCTAGGGTATTCACATGAGGAGTGACCCTAACTATAAGTGTTGATACTGATTCTCAACAGCACATATAAAGGGTGAGGAGAGTAGGTTCAGGTTATTTTATACTTTTCGACAAACAGAGGTATGTGGCTGAAGTTGCTGCTGCTCTTGAAGCATCCCGGAACTTGAAGCCTTTTTCAGGTGTTCCAAATTATTCTCAACAACTTCGATGGGTTCAACTTCTAAACATGATGGAGGCATTGTACAAGTCACGAGTTCAGTTTCTAAAGATATAAAACCGCCGCCATTTATGGGATCCATGGAAACAGTCGCGCCTCAAGCCACGAGTTCAACATTGAAGAATGCCAACTCGCCACGTGCCCCGTGTTTACCTTCGAGGGAGACGTTGAAGGAGCTAGGGCCTGAACTGATTACGGCCTCAGTCTACAAGACGGCAAAATCTTCACAATCCACAGTTCCACCTCGTAGACCGTTGACCACCCTCGAGGTTAGTCTTTGACAACGATTTTCTTGGGAACAGTGAAACCAAGGTTTTTCTGTTGGAGTTTTCCTCCCAATCGATACGACAGAGTTGTGCTTCGAGAAGTGTACTGGGTGGGTCCCAGGGTGTAAAGAAATAGTCGCTCGACAATTCTTATGAAAATGCCAGTATTCAACCACTTTTACCCATGCAGCCATTCAGTCTTTGGTAGGGGTGGGTTGTCCCGAACGTTGCACCTTACTTGGGTTCTCGAGTCTCATGAACTAGTCAGATTCGGCCACAGAGCATGGAAGGGATTGTGGGTAGTAGCATTAGACTATTTGAAAATTGAATGGTGAATAAACCACTTTTCAT